AAACCAGTAAACTTCATCTGGTCAGAAGGTACACTGAGTTTCAAACTAGGAATAACCCTTTGTTTAAGTTTTCTTCAGCTGCTGCTGTCATTGGCTGGGAGCATTAAGGCTTGTGAGCTTTTCTGTCTTAGCTGTTTATGGAAAAAAAAAATCTTGTGTTTGTTTTTACCACTTTGTGTATTTTAATATTTAATAAAAAATACTTGTCTTGCAAACCTGCTTTTCTAAGATTATTGAAAAAAAATCAGTTCAATGCCTAAAAGCTAAAAAACAAAGTTATTTGCCTCAGATTCTATAGATCTCAAAACGATGTGGTAGAAAAGCATCCTGACAAAAGCTGATTTTCTGTTTCATAGAACAACTTAACAAAATACCCAGTCCTTCCGTGAAAAGAAGTTAACACTTTTAAAAGTTAACCACAAAGTTAAAAGTTAACCACAAAGGCAAGAACAAATTCCAAAACATTTTAAGACCTCACTGCTTGTTTTGCTTTTAAGCATTGCATTTTGTTTATTTTACATTTTTCTCTTAAAAAATGATAACAGGATTTTGCACAAAGCAGCATACACAGGTGTCAGCTAGGCACAATCTGCTGTTCTATGAGAGATCACCAGTCTTCTACATACACTAGTACCACGCGAAGTAATAACATAAAACATGAATGTGAGCACACATGGTGCCAAAGTATTTGTTTGCCTAGCAAGTAGTGAGGTGAATTAGAGCAGATTAGTAGATCAAACCATTTAATGCCAATGCTCTTTACACCTTCCATTAGATGTTATTTGCAGTTTATCTTAGACTAGATTTAACCTTGTTCACTGGACCAAAAACACAGTTCAAAGTTTTCTCATGGAAAGCTGTCCTGCAGATCTTTGCTCCCTTGACTGAAGGCTCTTCCTGGAAGTGTCATGCTGATGACAGTAGCATGTCAGCTCACACATCATCAGTAGCATCCATCATCAAATTTCAATCAACTCTGTACTCCATATCCCTGATCACAAAACCAAAACATATGCCAGTGCCTTCTTGTCAAGAAGGAACAGGATCATTCATGATGTCCTCAATTCCAATGAACATCATGAGAGATGCTGCATATCCCTGCGCCCCACACCATAAAGTACACTCTTGACAATGGTGCAGCCCAAACCCCCTAATTTAATGTGCTTTTACTGAACGCATAATGGAACCACAATCTACATTTGGTCATCTGAAAGACACTGGGCTATGTGGGATAGACTGCAAATGTTTCCAACACCTTCCAAATTCAGGGTATCATTTTTGGTCTGAACTATCTGCAAGGACCTCTTTGAGAGCTTCTTTCAGACTGAAACACTGAGCACAGCTTCTGCAGTATGTGTACGCCAGGTTCTCTGTTCTCTTTGTCATAGCTGAGGCATCCAGAAATGCACTTGTGTCAGGACTGTGTCGGCTCCTTCACTGAAGAGAATCACCACCCCACTGAGCATTCACGACTGCATGAAGTGGGATGGGAGGAATACCACTGGATATCAATGTCTTTCAATCTGGCAAATGTTATACAATGATTAAAAAGGAACTCGTTCTCAATACTTCTCTCTGTCCTCAGTTTTCCCCTCCTCTGCACCTGTGTGCTTCACACATTCCCTTGCTGCATTCATTCAATTTATTTTGGGTAAACCTGGCTAATTCATCTATGCCTATTACCCCAGCCTGCAGTGCCCTTCCCTTTACGACCTTTCCCAACTGTGACGGGGTAGGGGAAGAAATCATATACGAACAACAACCACTACTTTAACCACTTCATTTCAAAGAAATTGAATCATTCTGAACAGTATTTATTGTACAAGCAGCTGATTGCAGGGCAGGGACAAGATCTGTCACATGAACAGAAATACCAGCACCACTACCACCACAAGGTGGATCCTTTATACGCTGCATTTGAGACAGTGTGGCTGGGGTTTTGTGCAGAAGCCTCGAGGGGCTGTGTTATCAAGGCAGGCCACGTCTACAGCTTCTACAGTTGCCAGGACTGTGCCTGGCCCACAGGCAGAGCTGGGACAGGGCAAGTGGTCTCTGGTGGAGCTTGTTACTCCACAGAATTTCCCTCACAGCTCACAGCCCCGGGGAATCACCTCTCAAAACACAGCAGTTCCCACAGTCAATCAAGAGACCCACACCACCTTTCCATGCCTCTGCGACCAGTGCTTTAATTCTACCAGAAACCTCCTAAATACAGTCCCACATTCAACACGTACAGGAAAGGAGTACACAGGCTTTCTCCAGCAGAAACCTGGACCACTAGTTTAGAGTTCCCATTGCCTGCTGTGGCAGAAAGTGGGCCAAGGGGATGTTCCTTTTGTTTCACAAGGGTCCTGTGAAATGTGTCGATATGTGCAGCAGTGTAGGCACATTTTTCACTGGACTTTTCTCCCAGACTGTTGGCCCTGGAACCAAGGGCGTGGATGCCCTCATGAGCAGGGGGCTTGGCAGAGTGCTCTGCCCTGCCCTGAAGATCTGTTCAAGATCTCTGTGGTAGGGGCTCACACACCGTGCCACCTCTGAAGCATGGTTTTGCCACCTCTTCAAGAAGATGGTTTTCATCTGCTTGAAATGCATGCAGCACCCCTTGTCAGCCCTCTCCCACTTGGCAGCAGGCTTGACATTTGCAACAAGGTGGTGCACCTGCTGGAGAAACTTTTGGGCATTTCAGAGCATAATCTGTCATGCTCCAGGTTGCCCCTAGCTCAATATTCTGCGAGGCCCAAGCAACAGTTGTCACTATTCCAAAATATAGCAGTAGGAAAGGAGGAACAATTTTAATCATGTTATAAGAAAGATGTTGTTCATAGATGAGGAGCGGCAAAAGAAATAGGGCTGTTGAAGAAGACAGAAGCCAAAGCTTGGAAGAACTAAAGGAGCAGCTGAAAGTCTGAACAAGCAGACATCTGTCAGGCATTAGAAAATACGAAGTCACACATAGCATTTGGCCTTTTGCATAGCACAAGAAGTACTTCAGAATAAGGCGGGAACTCTTGACAGGTTTAAAACTTTCTGTTGGCACGTGTACTTGTCACATGCTCTGGAGAACGTCACAGCAGTGTAGTTACACTCATTGGCTCTTACCCTTTTATCCCAGGCAGCAAAGCTTCTGCCTTAGCTTTCTCTGTAAAAATGTCATTCATATGTCTGAAACCACTTTGTGAACCAAATCAATAAGCAAGGACTATCAGATTACTTATTTCAGAAATGCACTACTGCTGTGATTTGAAATATCATGTAGACACACCCCGAACGACCATTGCTTTTCTGGACTTGAGGATTCTTGACCTGCTTCAAGAGGCATTTTCTGCTTGTAAAAATCTCACTTATAAGTTTATAGAGTGAACTTTGAGCAGTAAAGTATATTTCTAACTTCCAAACAGGATGCAGAAAGCACTAGTCACTTCTATAGTGGTTGATGCAGCGGCATCCAAACAATTTTGGAGGCAACCTCACCTTATTACAACTGTTCATGCTTCTCCAGTATCCCCAGGATTCAGAAACATATCTACTCAAACTTCAGGAACAATCCCAGTACCAGCTACCCACCAACAGCAGCATATAAATTCACAACAGTGAAGCACATCACAAACCAACTGAACTGGTTGTGCAAACACCAAACAATTGTTCTGACAATGCTTGCTCCTGAAAACAGTAACAATCAATTTCTGTTCTAGTATGGTCATCTTCACTTATATGGTGTATTAGCAGGAAGACGGAGAAAGTTTAATCATAATACACATTTTCCTATGCAGAACTTTCGCACTTATGACAGTCTGTAAACCAGTATGTTCCCCATCATGTCATGGTGACTCCCCTGCTCCACAAACACTGGGTACAGATGGTACTCTAACAACTGCTATATTCACAATGTCATCTAAGCTTGTTTCATATGCTTTTTCATGCACTCAATATCCGTACATTCACTATACTTTTGCAGTTCTTCTATGCTCTGCCATGAGTTACCATTACATTTCCTTTAATGGTTCACACCTTTCTAATTACCATGACAAATCAACAGAGGTGATGTGATCAGCATGCGACAATGGGAGAGCTAAAACAACTTGCCTCTAGCACTGCTGAAAAAGACAGAACAATTACTAGATGGGCTTCACTCTGCATAGTGTTGGAGAAGCTGGGATACATCCACAATTCCCAATGTTAGATGAATGCAGGCAACCAAGTCTCAGTGTGCTTAAGAGCAAACAACGTTGGTGCTTTTACATACAACGTCTTTCAGCATCACTGATGGATACTGCATTCACTCCCTGAAGAATAAAGAAGATGGTTCAAGCAACACTGTATCTTCTTGCCTGGCAATTAGAGAATCAACAATAACTCCTCAAAAAATAACAATGTAAGGCAGCATGACTGCTTTTTTGGGCACCAAAGTTAGGAAGCAGCAGGCCACTCTGATTGGACTAGTCTCCTCCCCAGCCCACAGAGTTTCATCCCCCAAGGAGAAGGACCAAGCCCTGAATGTCATCAGAGTCTTGGGTCCAGGTGCCTTGAGTGACAGGGGGAGGAAAAAAGAGACAAGTCTCCTTAAGATTTCTGGCTCCAACCATAGAGCTCCAAATTGCCTCCAACTCAGATCCAGTAAGAATTTGTCATCTCCAGAGATGCAAGACACAACATTCACTCCTAGATCCACAATAAAGGTAGTCTAATGGCCTGTGGCTGAAGCCACAGCAACACAGGTACACTCCACCGTCAGCCATTTCTAGGTCTGCTGTTTTGGAGTTCCTTGCCCCAGTGACCATCACAAGTCACATAAATGAAATAGACAGGTTTGAAGGACAGCGAAGTAACTTTTCCTTAAGAACTACCATAATAGACAGAAGAGTATAAACACTGAAGATATACACACAATTTAAATATATATGGCATGGAGAATGGACAGGCATAAACAGGATCATCAGGATCATCAATGGGAGCAGATGCTGCCTTTTCAAAGGCTGGCTTTTCAGAATGGATCATACCTCATACAAAACTGTAGTATTCCCGTGAAGGAGAGGTCCATAGCAAATATAGGAATGACCAACAACCCAGCCTAAATCAGAAGCTGCCCACCACACCTAAAATGAAATAAAAATACAAATATAGTGGGGAGTTTTTAAGAGGAGTTAAAAAAAAATTACATGACATTTAAAGAGAATTACCTCACCAGGTTTGAGTCCATATATAGCTGACATTGTCCAGTTCAGCATAACTGCATAGCCACCTGTTGGTCTGACAACACCCTAAATGAGAAAATTTGAAATTTAATATCATTTGAAGGATGCAGTGATATTCTTCAGTGAAATTCTGGGGGTTTTAGCAGTAGTAGACTTAAAGTTGCTTAATTCCAATACTACTCACTTAAGAAAAGGATCTGTTCTGACAAGTACATGCTTGTGCTAGCATTGCTACTAAATAAGTAATTTTGGAAAACAAACAAACAAATATACAATAAAACAAATGGAAAACGCCAACTCAAGCCCTAGATTACAATAGTTTTCAGAAGATAACACTCCAGAGTTTGCTTTTAAAATAAGACCTTTTAAAAATCCATCATTAAGACTGACATTTGAAAGCAAACATTTTCAAAGAATGTCCTACGTCAGTTTTCACTTAATCTAAACTTTATGTTCTCAAAACTGTTCAGTAACTCAAGCCTTCAGATCATGCTTAATTTCATTTAGTCTGTAATGTCACTCATTATGTCTTATGTATGGGAAGATTAGTTAACATGTAAATAATGAAAAAGCAAAGACTATTCAGCAATGAATGCTATCACACAAGTGATATATTAACTAATCTTGCCATTGACTATACTACACTTATCTCAACCAGTTAAAACACAGAAGATATTAATGGATAAAAGACATTCTGCTGTCCTCAAAAGTTTATACTGTACAAACATTTTGAAGTAAATGCAGTTTATCTTTATATTACTACCATTTAAACAAACAAATGTGATTTATTCCTAGACACTGACTTTAAAGTAGTGAAACGTGAATAAATGAGACTAAACCATTTCTAGCAATGCTTATAATTTACAGCACTGTGAAACATTTTCAACCTTTTTAATTAAATATTTTCTCAAGTGGAACTGCAAATAGGCTGGTCACAGACACTTAGACTAGAGATATTCCTTTACCTTGGGCAAGCCTGTTGTTCCAGATGTATACAGAATATAAAGTGGATGGTCTGAGGGAACAGAGATACATTTATAACACTGTGCTTTTGCAAGCTCTTCTTCCCAGTCAAGATCGCGACCTGGGGTAAGAGGAACATCACCCTGCCCATTGAAAAACAGAAAAGTGTTGAAAGAAAAACAGATGGAATAAATGGAAGTGGGTTAAAAAACATGTACTATTCCATTTGCTGTACAATAATCTCTCTGCTGCATCAGTTCTATTTAATATTTAAATCTTACTAATACAAAGTTCCCCCATAAAATTTCAAAACAAACTGCAAACAGATACACCAAACAATTTCTTTCTAAAAGAGAAAAGGCATGTGCATCATATACACATTTGAAAGTTAACATAAAGGCACAACTGTACACCTACCAAATTAGGTCGCTTGTAAATGAGAACTTTATCAGGTTTGCTCTGTACCGTTGCCAGTGCTCCTTCTAGGAGGGACAAATATTCCACTTTCCTTTTTGGTTCTACTCCAAAACTTGCTGTTACAATAAGTTTGGGCTAAAATAAAGAAGTTAGATTGTTAATATATACATTTGCAATACATTTTTTACATGTAAGCTAGTAACATGTTTTGCATTAACTTATTTGATTAATGACACTCAATAACTAGAAGCAGGGGTTTAGATCAGTTTTCTAAGGAAATCAAGCTTGTGCGATCTTGCTGTCCACACATCTGCTTTTTGTTCAGGAGTACACTAACAACTTCTGACACTCTTCACCATTTTTAACCAAAATTGAGTAAGAAATCGACAGCATTAAGTTCTTGTAAGTTGCACAAAAAATAATGAACAGAGAAAGACCCACCTCCATCTTAGCCCCTCCATAAAGGAAAGGTGGTACAGTGATGTCAACAATTACCTGTCCTGTTTAGTCTGCTTTCTAATCATCTGCCTGCAGGCAATGGCACATTTCAAAACAAGCTATAGCACTTTGCTGGCTCTTTTCCAGCCTGCAATTATATGGCTCAAGAGGGAAAATAGGGGAAAGAGGAAAAAGAGGCAAACAAGAGATGACAGGAAACTAGAAATACAGGAAGAGACTAAGCTGAAGTCATAAGGCACATGAGGGAAGTAAAGCTAGAGTCTTTCAAGTAATGGTTGTAGAACTCACTAAAAGTCAGATTGCCAGAGTTTCGGACTTTTTTAGAATAATTTCTGTTTCCGAATGTGGATTTAGCATCTTTGTCATTAAATCAACCACAGGTTTCATGTAAGATTTCCTAAGTCAAGAAATCTGCATACAAACTATTTTGACTTAAGTCCCAACAGAAGTATTTTTATTTCTGTATTAGGGGAAATAAAAGGTAGCACCAAAGAAACTATGTGTTAGAACACATTTTAATTGGAGAAGAATAAGCCTTCAATCTCCTTGCTTTTGGAATTTTAGAAGTACATTTATCTTACACTGCTCAGTTTGATCAAACTAGTTTACTAATTGTATGCATTAGCATAAATCTCATTAAGTTAGCACAAACCACAATGCCACAGTTAAGGCTGCATTAAACTCAGCACAGAAAGCACAGATTAAATTGTTTTCCTGTGCAACAATAAAATGTTTCCCATCCAAATCTGCCATTCAGGGAAGTTTGCTAATTACTGTGTATTCAAAATAAAGATTTCAAATGAGCTTTAAAATTTCAGCATTTATCATCTATCTCTTTTGGGATGCACTGATTTTAATAAAAGATGACTACAACACAATGCAGTTAAACTGAAAATTCATCTGGATGCTACCCTGAAATTAGACTGTAATTAATGTAAGATATTAACACAGTTCTATTCAATTGTTAAGATGAAAGACTGTTGTCAACGCCAGGTTTACAGTCATTTGTAAATAGTGCCACTTCTGCTCATCAAAGACTTTCTATGCAGTAAGGAAGTCTAAAAATAACTAGTACTAAACTGGCTAAGGTGATGTATTTCCCAAGTGAGGGTTACTACTTGGAAGCATTATGGAAGCATCCTGTGCAAATCAAAGCTCTATTACTGGCTTTAACTGCTGTTTTCTAGTGTTTTACCTCTCTGCCTACTGACACTACTTTCCCTGCATCTCTGCTCCCATATTGCTTTTATACACCCATTTCCCACCTCTTCTGTGCCTCCATTGAGTCCTGCACAATAAGATGAGATAGAAATACAACTAATTTGAAGGAAAATCAGGAAAGTTCAAAGGTTTGCTGGTGAAGGAATGCCAGTGATAGTGAGCTGTAGAAAAAAAAAATATGAAGAAGTAGAAATGAGACAAAGCAAGGCCCGACAGTACCAGCCAACAATTTCATTCTGTTGTAAGGACACCTTCTACAAATTCTTCTATAGTCTCTAATAGCATACAAGGTAAAGTTTAAGAAAAGCAATAAATACATTTCATTGGGCCAACTAATTAAGCTGCAAAAAGGTCAAATCAAAAATGAACTACCTTTGGGGCACAAAATGTCAGGGATGTCATGAAGAGGTTTACAGAAAGGTCCAGCACTAAGGCCCTCACTATTCAACACAAAAAGCTCTTTTCGCTTTGTGCCACACTACACATATGATCACAAGCCCATGCTCAAACTTACTGCACTTTTGCTGTGCCTCTCCCCTCCTTAAAACAACTGACACACATTTTAAAGAAATACAGTGCTTAGGCAAGTATTATACAGTTCTGCTGCACCTGCTGGTACTGCTCCAGCTTTGCGGTTAGATGATTGGTGTCAGATCGCCATGCACATTTAGTTCTGCCAAATATTATACAGTCCTCTAAAGAAAGAGACCTGAATCATACCATACAAGTAGTTAAAAATCAAAAGCAAGATAATGTCTTCTAATCTACAATACATACTCAAAAAATAAACAGTGCTTCAAGAGAAAATAAGACAGGATGGGAGCTATTGTAAGGCAACTGTGCATCTTATGTACCAGCAGCTGATCTTGCTGCCTCATCACTCAAAAGGTTGGATCATCTTATGATGAGAAGCAGGCGTAACCAGTCATAGTCATACCTGTGCACAGGATCTATGTCCTATGTCTCAAAATATAGCTAATGTCCTTCAAAAGTATAGTTTCAATATTGCAAACTATATATTCCCAGATTCCGATGAAAAGAAAGATGACAAGAAATGCCGGTTCTCATGCTCTGTACCACTTCATCACAATTCACCAGAGAATGTCTGTAACTTCCAATACCTGACAAGATTAGAAATTATCAGCTGCAGGACTTTGCAGCATTCCCAGACCTATTTAAAATTCAAGATAAATTACAGTAAGCTGGTAAAGTATATGAACCTTTTCATTGTCACTAGAAAGTGCTTGTTATTTCTTTCACTTAGATCTTCCAATAAAATGTGAAGTTTGACCTTTCTTCCACAAGAGCATCCCACAGCCAGCTTTCCATTCCACATCTTTAACCCTTTCTAATTAATCTTAACAATATTAGGTCCTATACTGCAGCACCTAAACCAATTCACATAAAACTCTAACAGAAAGGTTAGGGGTTTTTGAGACTGCTTCAATTAACTTCTGAGTTCAGCAGAACACCATCTATCACAGCTAATTATATACACATCTTAAAGATAATCTAAGCAATTCACTTATCAAGAAAGCTTTACAGTGTTTAAAAATTGGGGCATGTCTTGAAATTTAGATTGGGGATGTGCCTCTCCTCTTTACTTACACTTCCACTGCACACCAGATGGACCAAAAATTATCCACAATATTTAGATATGCCTTTTCAAGAAAAAAAAAAAAAAAAGGCAATGTAGATCAGGATTTAATCAAAGGCCTGCAGCTAATAATTCTATAGCTAACTCCACAAAAGACTTGCTATGTGACCTTGAGTAAGTCACTTAACCTTTCTCCATTTTCTTTTTAACGCATAAAGCCAGGATTATGATTACTGTGCTGTCTCCCTTTGTTCCTCAGAGAAAATCTACTGGAATTTATTAGTTAATATTTCCAAAATTCTCTAAAAGTAAACATGCTAGATGATTTTTATTGCAGCAACCTTAATTTTAAAAGTTTATAATTTTTTTCCTTCTACATTATTTTTCCCTAATTCTATGAGCTAAAATTGATTTTTATAGTTTGTTAAAAAAGCAGTGGAGTGGGAAGAAAGACATGGAAAAATATAAAGCTGTTGTTAGCCTTCCCCCAACTTTTTTTCACAATTCCGATAAACCATTTCAGCCATTTTATTAACAACTTCATTGTTAATTTAACAAATTTATCAGCAATTTCTCTGTTAAAAGATCAAGGTGACGAGGGGGGATGCATTCAACTTTCTGTTTATAAAATTCATAAAATTCAAGCCTTAGTGATCTGAAAAGCACTTCTGTACACAAAAATCTAAGAAAAAGTTCCTGTGGACTTTACCCCGCATAATGTTTTGGCTTGTATGTCTAACCAATGTGATTCAGTGATAAATGGCTACCACAGATGGTGAATGATCCACGTGACTGATCAAGATGACAAAGACTTTTGTCTTGTTCACTGGTAGAAAACAAGAACAGAAACTTCCAGGAGAAACATTGTTAGCTGGTTTGAAACTAATGCATACACAAGCTACTAATATGCACATATAAGCTACTAAGTAGATTATTAAAGTACTATTTTGCATTTTCACTTACAAAGACTTACATAATACTTCATAAACAAACTCAACTTGTGCCAAACTTATCAGCCTTTAAAGCATCCACCTCTATTCTGTTCTCTACAGAGTCACTTACTTAAGACAACTGGTTCCCTAGCTGCCTTGATTCATGTAGAAATCAGATGAAGTAGATATATAGGTGAAGAAACTTACTGCCTAATAGGTCTAAACATCAAGTAAACCAATGAAGTCATTTAGGGTTGGCAGCATTTTCCTCATACACTTGAGGAAAATGCTGGGTGAAAAGCCAATTTTAAGGTGAAGCTTTCTAGAAAAAGATTGACAAATGGGAGTAGAAAGTATGCCCTAAACAGACAGCAGCATGTTAAACTCATACTTTTTTAAAAGAGGTCAAAATTTTTATCTCAATGTCTGCTATAAAAGTGTCACCCACAGCACAGCTGTAGTACTTTGTTCATATCACAATGTCAGGTATTATACACGAATTGAGACTGTGTGCCACACAAAGAGAAAGGTTATCCTCTCCAGGGGGAAAAAAAAAATGTTTTTGACATTGACTTATATGAGTAACTAATGCAATGGTGTTTGTTGTTGCAAATATGTATTACCTTTGCATGATCAATGCGGACAGAAAGCTCTTTAGATGCAAATCCACCAAAAATCAGGCTATGGATGGCTCCTATTCTTGCACAAGCCAGCATACAGTACACTGTCTGCGGAATCATGGGCATGTAGATGACCACACGATCTCCCTTCTTCACACCATGTCTGACCATGACATCAGCTAACTTGGAGACCTGTACTGACAAAACATTCACAACATATGAAAAGTTTCTCTAGATCTGCTGTTACCCCATAAAAAACAAGCTTCACACCAACAACAGACACAGGACGTTATGGAGACAAGCCAGTATCACACGGAAAGTTGATGAACAATGCAATGCAGGTTCAATAAATTTAGGACAATTTCCTTTCTGCAAAAAAACACTGTAACACATTTTTCTTTTGTAAAGTGAGAACGGACTGAAGCTAATTATTTTACACATTAGAGGAAAAAAATCAATAGTAATGTTTTGCAAATTTTTAAACAACACTCTAATCACTCATTCTTTTATCCAGATAACTGCTTATATTTCTCCATTTTAGCTTTTAGGAATTGATGTAAACAGGCTATTTCATATGCAAATTCTGTCCTAACTAGTTAAGTTTAAAACACAAATCAATATGTAGTAATTGTCTCCCTACTACAGTGTTGTAAACTTCTCAGAATCTGAGACAATAAATCGTACACTCAGAACCAAATGTAAATACAAATTCAGAGAAACACATTGAGATTTACAAAGTCATTTTTCCCTCATTTTCAGATTTTCTTTTTTGGTATGCAGAAGCCTGAAGACCTACTATGCATGGCAGAAAACGACTGGAAATCAAGAAATGTGATTTCCAATCACATACACGTAGCAATGTCAGCTATGTGTATCACCATGTGAAAATATTTATTACCTCGCTTAATAAAACAGTGTATAATATTTTGTCACAAAACTATTATTGAATATTTCATTAGTACACCAGGACAGACAGTTCACCACATGGCAAGTTCTGACAGAGTGAGCCCAGGAGCCTGCTACAAGCACTGTGCACTTGTCCTGACCTGCTTGTCGCAGCATGGAAATGTGGCATCTTCTGGAGCAAATTACTAATTCCCCAAGAGTAACTGAATGAACTCAGCTGTCAGAGGTCTTTCGAGGTCCAGAGGCTGACAGTTGGGTTACAGTCAGTATCTAAACCTCTTCACTGCCTTTTAATTTTTCAATTAGACATCAGTGTGCAGAGGTGTATGTAACAGTGCACAAAACATAGGCTAATAGGTTAACAGGAAAAACTGTAGACTAAGAAGAAACAAATAAGACTAATAATAGGAAACAGGACGGAAGTAGAAACATCCCATGAAGTCATGAGCTGTAATACTCCGTAAGCATGGTTACATGTCAGTCAGACATAACAAGAACAGGCGTTTTGCTTGCAATAGTTTTACATTAGTGATAAGACTAAAAAGTTGAATTCTCTAGGAAGTTCTTGAGATATTTGAAGACATACAAATCTAAGTTCAGAAACAAGGGAGTTACTCTGTCTGACAGGGGAACTCTTCTTACCTACAGTAGTAAAACTCTTCTTTAAGAAGTTGCCACTCCCTAGAAAATACTACAATAAACATAAGAAGTTTAAACACTCTAATTTCTTTCACTATCAATGTAACATGAATCTGCTCATATATTAATTCCTCACATCTTACCTATACTGCATTATTACTTATTAATTATATCACATAGATAATGTTTCAAGTAAAATCAGTCTCATGAAGACTCTTTTCTTCAGGTGCTACCAGACTGGAGGGAAAGGAAAGGGGAGACAAACTCCTGAGAGCAGCAGGGGAATGTTGCCTGTACAATATAAAATATCCAACCTTCTGAAGGAGTAAGAAAGGTTTTCAGTGACCCAGCAAATAATGCAAGCAATGGGAGCAGCCTAGGCCAATAGTACATGTTGTGCAACAAGGACAGGAGGGAAGGACCCCCTTTTTCAAGGATGAGCTAGTCAGGAGAGTAGATTTCCTTTGAAATGCTTTACTTTCATTTATATTATTTATCAAATTTGAGTCTTCTCTATTTAAAGAGTTACTTTATTCCAGTTTAATATTCTAGTACCACTGCTACTTTCTGAGATTTGTAGCCATTAGGCTCTTTCTTTTATGGTTATATTCACGAAAATTTGGGGCAATTACACCCATACCTAGAAGCCTATCTGATACATGTACTGAAGAGAATAATATAGCATTACTGACTGCTTCTCTCTTCAGTGGGAATACATGTTCAGACTCTCAGCAACCTCAGACAGTAACATCCAGAAGCTCCACATGGATCTGACCTGTGTTTGCATTAAATACACCGCTAATCAACAATCAAACTATGCGTATTTCTACACTTCTGCCTGGCAGTTTAAGAAAATGGAAACACAGAAGCCCCAAGTATGCATGCTTGCACCAGAAGATAACAGCATAGCTTCAATTTTCAAAAACATTGCATAAATCCCTGCTGTTATTTTCAGCTGTAAGAGCATATGTTTATAAGGTGAAGTCATACCGAGACTATGAATGATTTGTAACAGACCTCTTATATTAAATGTTACTGATTATTAAAATTAAAATATCTTTAATTCTAGACTACTAATACTTATCAATACTCTATGAAACTCATATACGCTGTCAAAACCCAACAAAAATCAACAAGGCCTGGACATGTACACAATTAGAATTTATTGCCATACCACCAGTATTTACAGTCATTTCTTGACAGGATTGGTGACAGTAATTGTAAGTAAGGATAACAACTCTACTTACAAAGGTGAACTCATTTTCTATACTTCCTACTGTGAAAACATTTAAATCTGCAAACTCATTGTAACACAGAGCTAATATTACCTTATCTCAAAGAATTGAGAAAACTAATCCTTTTCTTTGCGGCTTGTGAAACTCTCAAGCACAGTGTTGAGAAAAAGGCTAGAGGCAATGAAAACAATATTTAATGAGTAATTTTATATTCAGTGTAAGCATGGATAGTAGGCAATAAGTAGTTAATCAAAATGGACAACTATTACTATTCATTATTATTATTTTATAATTATTAATGATGATGAAAAAGGCAATGTTTGCCTGCTAAAGGAAAAAGACATAATTTAAAGATCATAATTAGTAATTTTATAATAGAAGACTCCCAGTGCCTATATACAAGCTATACAACGTTGGTACTTGGCAGTAGGAGGGAGACAGCGCAGAGATCTGCATGTAAGTCATTTTTATTGAAACTCATAATAGATAAACTGTACTTAAAGCAGAATATGCTGCAAACAGGAAACACATGTCTCCCATAGAAACCCAGTAATAACTTGTCTGCACTTAACCTCTCCACCCGAGAGAGTTTAATGTCACTGAAGACAATAACTCAATACAACACATGGGTATCTACGATTTTCTTCGTGCCTTTTCCCTCATCCTCTGACAGCCAGGGAGCATTTGGACTACATAATACATAATAAAACACCATCTCTATCTGCAACCATTTGGATGACTAGGGAACATCATAAAACAGGTTTACATTGCCCTTAAGATTGATGTGGAAACCCTGAAACACCCAAGCAATTGCTCTTTCTAAAAAGGGAGGGGAAGACTGAGTAGTGACATTTCATTAAACTGTTAAAAGCCATGAGATCTGCCACTTTGTTACAGTGTGTTGTCATTTATGGTTTACATTAAGACAGCATACTTTATCACTCAAGATTTTACAGTTGCTATTTTCCTAGCAGCATGCTATTTCTCTGCTTTTTTTCAAGATTGCTCTATCACTGTAATATATTTGACACTTCAGTAATAAAATCACTTGAGACCAAGTAATATAATAAGAAACTCAAGTAGGCTTTCAGCTTTGAAGATCTGGTCTTAAATTACACTTCTATCAAATACAAGCCCCCAGAGAGCATGGCTTTACTTTCACCCAGCCACCAAACAAATACTACACCTGTATTAGCAGTTCAGGTTTGGAAAAGTACTGCAGTTCTGAAGTAAGTCACCTGTCTGTCCCCAGTAGCTACAAAAAGCAGATTTTGGTCCATGCCAAAAGAATTTTTCTTAGAAGATACTAAAACAGAAATTCTGTTCCAAGTGCTCAAAAGAGGAATTTCAAACCTTCCTGGGCTGAACAATGACTGGGTCTCACCAGTCCTTCAATGCAAGCTAAACACAAAAGAATTCTTCAAATACCCAGAGCTCCTGAAACATCCCAAAGAGCATCTCATAGTGTAAAAAGAGCATGTCACATCCTCGTTCCTCTACACCAGAGGCAGCATGTTGCCTTATGCTCTTCAGTTTCTCCACTATGTCATTTTTTCAAGACTACTAAATAAAGTACTCATTGCTGCTCTCCCTCATCCCTTAATCAGCCTCTTCACTCTTCTATTACTCTTCTTAGTGATTGCTCCTTTTCTTACCGCTACAAAATCTTCTCCAGCAGATGCACCACCTTGTTGCTAATGTCAAGCCTGCTGCCAAGTGGGAGAGGGCTGACAAGGGGTGCTGCATTCATTTCAAGCAGATGAAAACCATCTTCTTGAAGAGGTGGCAAAACCATGCTTCAGAGGTGGCACGGTGTGTGAGCCCCTACCACAGAGATCTTGAACAGATCTTCAGGGCAGGGCAGAGCACTCTGCCAAGCCCCCTGCTCATGAGGACATCCACACCCTTGGTGCCAGGACCAACAGTCTGGGAGAAAGGTCCAGGGAAAAATGTGCCTACACTGCTGCACATATCAACATGACTGCAACCCCCAGAGGACCCCTGCAAAACAAAATGCAGGAACATCCCCTTGGCCCACTTTCTGCCACAGCAGGCAACGGGAACTGCAAAGTCGATAGTCTGGCAGTAAGTGTACTGAGCATGGGACCGTGGAAGGAAAAAAAACTAGAATCAGGGCACTGTCGCAGAGCTGTGGAAAAGGCAGCATGAGTCTCTGGATTGACTGTGAGAGCTGCTATACTTTGAGAGATGATTCCCCAGGGGCCATGAGCTGTGAGGGAAGTTCTGTGGAGTAACAAGCTCCACCAGAGACCACCTGCCCTGTCCCAGCTCCGCCTGTGGGCCAGGCACAGCCCTTACCAACTGCAGAAGCCATGGACGTGGCCTGCCTTGATAACACAGCCCCCCTGGGCTTCTGCACAAAACCCCAGCCACACTGTCTCAAATGCAGCA